AGCTATGATCGAATGATGTTGTCATTTCGGTGTCTCGATATTCTGTGAGAATAACTTTAGGTGACGTTAACTCTATGGAGAATTATTCTGAGCACCGAGGTGGGAAAATTATGGAGGCTTGGCAATGCCTTTTGATATTAGAGATGAGTTAGGGGGGTAAGATGTGTGTTCCTATCTGGGGGACAAAACATGGTTGAAGCTCTTTCTTGGTGGGGTTTCACTTTTCTACTGGCCCCTTCTCATACAAATTCATGCATTGGATTGGGTTCTCAACTATGGATATAAATCCACATCATCATTAACTATTGTCATCCAAGTTTTTTTTAAGGATTAGAATAGTTACCACAAGAATTTGGATCGAAATTTATGACCATATTTAAATAAAAAAAATGATATTTGATGAGATTCAAGTTTAAATTATTCTTAAAAGGGTCGTGTCGAGAGCTCTCAACAGTCGGTATTGTTCTCGTGTCGAGAATTTTGTTCCTCGTACTTTGTCGAGAGTCGTGTAGGAGCCCTCCCTCTGAGGTACCCCCAACTCTATGGATTGTGCATGACTCTCGACAAGATACATTGGATAAAACTCTGATGCATGGACGATACCGATTGTTGAGACTTCTGTTTAATATGATCAAAATTATATAATTTATACGAAATAAGGTAAAATATGAGAAAAGAAAATAACATTTACTTAAAATGAAATGAAATTTAATATGAACTTTCAATATTGAATCATGCTTTGGGTATGTAGCTGTGAAACTCATCCCAGATTGCTTAGAATAACTCCATGCGAGATATACACAAAATCCAATTGCATTTGCCTTCTAGAGTTTTGAGTTTTCTTTTTCTCTAAGCTAGGGAAAGCGACTTTGAATTATAAATTTTTATGAGGGCTAAAATTATAATTTTACCATTATACTAATTATTACCCTTTTCATTTTTAGAAAGGACTGAATCTCAATTTTATCATTTTGAAGAGATAAAAAATATAGTCTTGGTATATGCTAGCTTATAAGTTTATAATTTTGTGGGAGGAATGCTAAATAGCGTCCATCATTAAGTCAAATGAACTAATTATGTAAGGTTATAGTGGGCTAATTAGACATTTTAATTAGGTCGTTGATCCACGTTGATCTTAGGGACATAGCTATGATTGAGCTACGAGGGAGACAAGCTGCTTAACTTTAGAATAAATGAGATCCCAAAAAAATAATTAAATCATAAGATTAAGAGATTAAGGGTTTAATTTTAAAATTCAAAGGTCATAAAAAGTAGTAAAATTAGGTAAATCAGGGATCAAGGTTTAATTTTATTAATTTTAAAACTAATAGTATCCCTAAACAATTATATCAAAAAATATTGGGAAGAACAAGGAGTTAATTGTAATAGATTCAAAATTTTAAGCTTGAAATGTAATTAGGCCATAAAAGTTGGGGGGGGACAATTACCATTCCCACTTACAACATAGATCCGTCCCTGGTTGATCTTATTTAAAATTTTCATTCATTAGACACATCACAATTTATATATATATATATATACATGAACACTGATCTATGCAACGAAGTGCCTATGCAATGATGTAGGTGGATGAGCATTGATCTTGACATCCATGAACCTATGCAATGATGGGTTTTACACTAGTGGAGAAAGATACCTCGAACTCATGCATGTCTGTATATTTGGAAATGAAACAAGGGCTGGTTGTAGCAAACTATAACAAGAGAGCTACAATTCTCAAGACTGTAATATGAACACAACACTCTTTCCATTATATTCTCTTCATTTCAGAGGGGGGAAAAACAAACATGGCGGAAACATGAGACGGGATAAAAAGCAACAGAGATGTCTGTGGTTCAATACGGAAGGATTTCATCTGAAAGAACTATCATGTCTATCACTAAACGATACCTCAATATCATCAGATGAACTCAAAATTTAACAGTAAAAGAGACCTCCTTCCCTCTGTATTTGATCATAGTAACAAGGGGAAACAAGCATTACCAAAGCAAGGTATAGGAGATGAGACTAGCTCATGACAATCAGCCATATCGATCATTCATCCGCACCAACAGGGAGAAACTAAGGCAGAATCCTTAAAAAAAAAACACTTCAGCCAATAGCTTATACTGCCAGCCATCTATTGTTTAGATTCTATCTTCATGTAAGTCAGTACTGTGTCTTTATAGCATAATGCTTAATCTATATAAGAAAAGAATCATTTTGCGGCCTCAATGTCTCGATCATGATATGAGGGTATAGAACAAGGCCGGCCATAAAAAGTGTGAACTGCAGGAGGAGAAAAGGAAGAACATTAAACAGTTTCGAAAGATCGTATACCAGTAAAGTGAAAACATCAAAAATGAAAACTTCTGTTGTACCAGAAGTGGAAGGGTCAAGGAACCCCAAATAGGCCACAGAGCAAAGCAGAGCCTGTATAAAAAAAGTTATAAAAAGATGAATGAATTTGTAGATGCCACAAGGAATCTATGAAGACATAACAATCGTTTTCCTTACAAGCAGAAGGAGACAAGTCCGATCAAGGTAAGAAATGGGAAAGCGATAATGCTTAACAATTCCCACTTTTCGTCAAGCCTTCTTACACTCCAGGATAACATACTTGTACAAAAGAAGAGGGCAACGTTCAATCCGATTCCAATTAAGCCGAGGTATAAAGGCATTCTGCACGGGAATTAAATAACGTGAGATGAATGGTTTTATATAAAGGGGAATCACATCCATGAATATATACACAGTACCTCTATGTTGAACAATTACAAATTGCAGATGAAGCAAATGTTGCAACTCATAACTAAAAGCTGTATTAAGGCTATTAAAATGTTAAACTAACCATTTGAAGAATGAATAATGAAAATATTGTTATCACATGGAAAAAAATAAAATAGAAGTCTCATTGTCTGCTATATTGAAGAGGCAATTTATACATTGTGTGTTAGATAAATTGGAAGGACACTCGAAACAGTTAGAATTGGCTTGCAGCCACAGGAGAAAACTGGATAAATCAAGAGCATGGAGCATGGAACATGGAACAAGATGCTACAAGTAAATCTTCCATTGGCTATAATATCACAGAAGAAATCATAAGAAAAAGTAAATAGCATTTCTTGCAAAAGTTGAACATTTTTAGATCCCAGTTCCTAGCCGAAGCCCATCAACACCATTACATAAGGAAATGATCAATACCACGGTAGCACTTTCTTGATAGTTGCTAGTTCAACTGAATAAGGCATGAACCATAACTTTTACAAGGCTATTGACACCACCCAAGACAATTGCATGTCAAATGCAAAGGTCATAGGTAGATTGTTAGTTACATTATGGAATGAGCTTCACCTTTTGTTAGTTACATTATAGAATGAGCTTCACCTTTTTAGCAATGTGTTCAACAGGTCAATAATCTGGAAAGCATGATGTAAAAGCAGTGTAAAGACGATAAAATGCATGATTCTGTGTGATTTACCAATAAATATATATTTGGTTATCTGATCTCAAAAGTTAAAAAGATTTTTACATCATGATCTATATTCAGATTCTGGTCATAAATGATTGTGAAAAATGAACCGAGCAGCACAGCTTACAAGATGGTGCTAATAAAATTCAACTGAGTAGAACATGAAACTTGCTAAATAAAACATATTTTACCATAAGTTTGTATCATATTCATATACATTATGAAGTCCCTGGTTAGAAGTGCCTTATCACACACATCAAAGGAAAGCACATGGATTATGATGAATAATAACACACACACATACACAAAGAACACATGGTGTTTCTATATCCTCAATTCATCAGAGAATATCAAACAAAAGTCTTCATCCTGAAGACATATCTAAGAATGTTAACGTATACAATAATGTTAACATGTATAATAAAATATTAAACATGAAAAAATAGATAAAATGAAGAAAAAGTACTCAACTGAAATAAAATAGTCAATAAGTAAATTCAATTAGTTTTTAATTATGGGTACTTCTTCCATTTTTGTGTAAATAATTTGATCCTTCACATGAGCTTGATTCTATCATTGGATGTGCATGCACGCACATGTACAAAAATATACATGGTCACAATAAGATGGACAAAGTAAAGAAAATATAGAATATTAGATATTAAAAGTTTCCTGATGACCATAAACTTTAAATGTAATATTCAAAAGAAAAACTGTCTAAAAAGGTAAAGCTTTTCAAAACAAACTTTTCCAGACATTTAAATGAATTCACAAAAAGGAACCTAATATCTCTATCAACAACAGAGCTTCCTGCCTTCCTCTATTACAAAGCTGGTGGCCTGGAGCTTGCTTTATTGTGTACATAAATTTCATGCTAAATATATCTAAGCTGTAAGCAGAATAGCACATAAAAACAATCATTCAAACCCAAAAGATTAATTACTCAATTAGACTTAGAAACAAAGTGCAAAACAACCCTTAAAATGAACACTTGGAGCCCAGCAACAGCAATGTAGTTCTACTTTTAAGTAAACCGATTAGTGGTTCAATCAGTTCTCCCATTTCAACTACAATATCAAATGACTCCAAAGCACATCAACTTTTGAACCAATTGAAGCAACATTTCCAACAATCTGAGGAACCCTTTGGAATTGTTGTTTTTTACTTTTAACTAGTTTAGCTGAATATAATTCCAGCTTTAACTAGCTCCAAGAACTTTAACATTGAAGCAACCAAAGCATAACTAATAATGAACCTTGTGAACAGCATATTAGCATTTATTCAGCATCAAAAGAACTTAACTAAACCTAGTTCTCGCAAATCATACAACAAACAGAATATGCGACTATTCTAAACCACACTAAGTTAAAAATTCAATCCACTCAGTTACCTTCTGATTCGCTCATCATGCCACAACAGATATATCAAATTGGAGTGTCCATCACCAAAGTAGATTATGAACAATGCTGAAGCAACCCAAAACACAGTTTCCAAAATCTCAGTCCAAGTTCTCGTTCTCAGAGTTGCCGTTGACAAAGACTGTAACCTGGAGCAGGCATCATCCTCGAGGTCCTCATTGCTCGATGCATATCCCTGACTATGCCTTTGCCTCATATATCCACCAGCAACTGGTGTCCCGCCAGACATATTTCTAATCCTTTCTCACAAGATTAATCCCCCCAAAAGAAAAAAAAAATCGATCTTTTCAAGAACTAAAAAAACCCCACTTCCTGGAATGGAATTCCATTAAGAATATAGTAAGACGTTGTACTTCTTCCACTGTTAAACCCCACTCCAATGTCCAAATCATAACCCCCTTTTTGAATCAAAATTCTAAGGAATTGGAATTGAAAATTGAAGAAGATTCAATGAAAAATGAAAACCCAAAGTAGAAATGAGACTGGTGAAGGACCCAGACGGCAAGTTCCAACTTTTATCATCTAAAAAACTCAATGAATAATCAAATCAAGGAATGAGAGTAGCAGAACAAACCCATCAAAAGCACCACAAAATCTCACAACACCAAGATACATATACAGATTTAGCTTCCCTGACATGCACGAAATAATTTTATTCCAGATTCTAGTCATCGATGCCAATAAAAAAATGGTACAATAAATGATAATAGCAAAAAAACAAATAGTATAACCTTTTGATGTTTTCTCAATTATGAGATAAATAGAAAATTATCGGATAAAATTTAAAAAATATACTGTTTTATTTTTATAAGTGACTTACTGATGAAAGATTGATTCGTTTCTTATAATTAAATGAAAGAATGTGTTGTCCTATTATTTATTTATTTATTTATTTTAAAATTCTTCCTTCGGCTGAAATTAACTTTTAGGCCTAAATAAGTCCTTAAATTATGTTTTTTCCCTTTCTTTAGGCCCTAAACTATTTTTTGTTAAAATAAACCTTTAAACTATTAAATACAATCACTTTAAGTACTTACATTATTTTTATTATTTTTTATATTAATATATCCTTAAACTTTGCTCTTTTTTATTTTAAATCTCTAAATTATTTTTTTAGTCAAAACATGCACTTATTTTAGTATGACATGTCAACATCTCAATGGTCTAAATAAATTTTCTAGTTAAAGAAATGGTAAGATTTAAAGTGGTTACATATATTAGTTTTAAGGATTTATTTTTAACCAAAAAATAATTTAGGGCCTTAAAGCAAAAAAGGAACATAGGTTAGGGATTTTTTTTTAAAGTTTAAGCCTAACTATTATTATATATTTGACGACAAGACCAGAGTTGATTGATGGGAATGTCAAGATTTTGTTTCTTTTGGGTTTGACGTTGCAAGGAAAAGACAAGTCTTTTTGTGCTCTTAGTTTTTAGCTGCTTGAAAGGCAAGATTGGTTTGGCTCAAGAATTCATTAAATTATTACAAAATTATTAAAGTTTTTTAAAAAAAATTAAAAAAATACACATAATAAATGTAAGAAAATTATAACAATTTGATAAAATTTAATAGTGATTTTATAATTTTTGAAGCTTCAGTGACCAAACTAATTACTTAAACACCAGTAAAGTTACTTTACCCTTTAAATAAACAAATAAGAGAAGCAAGAATAGTGGAGGAATACTTGGGCGCCACTTCACTAATAACACATTATTATCTTTCAATTCCAACCGCCATATTAAAGGGAATTTGCTTTTCCGAACTGAGCTGGATTATGGGCGGCGATTGGATAAGATATAATTAATTAATCATGCATTAACAACCTTTGGAAAGTTGGGTTATGGTTGCAAAGCACATGCATTTTCATTTTTAGGAAAACAAAATCATTTCGATTCTTTGATTCATTTTAAGAAAAGTGGAGCCAAGAGGTTGCTTGAACATGAAGGCACGTTCTTGATAATTTGATGCCCTTTTAGCCGACTCTTATATGTTGGCTGAAAGTGACATGTTTTTATTTGGTGACAATACAAAACTAAAGTAAAGAGAACTGACCTGGAAATTTTAATGAAAGCTCCTCCTTGGGCTTCTTTTGCAGCTTCCCCGTAAACCTAGAACCTGTGTAATCAATAAGCTAAAGCAGTCCATTTCAATAGCCGGCGAGAAAATATAGAACAAACGTCGTTAAACACTCCATTCACCATCATTAATTCTAACCCCCGACTGCCCATTTACAAACTAAGCAATTGATGGCTTTTAGATCTAATAGGGAGGGGAACTAAAGAGTGGAATTACTTGCTAAATCGTACAGGAACCGGTTTGACATGAATGGTAATAAAACAAAACAGGCTCAGTGGTTTCGGCCTCCACCGCACATGCTAACCAAGTCCATCGAGGTGGAGTATAATACATCCAAAGTTAAATGCCCCAAAAACTTTCTGTAATCGGATGCACCATCATGCATGTCCATTTGAAGTTTCCAATCCTCTGCAAATCCATCTTCCATTACTAACCACCAAGAGATGCCACCTTTAATGTCTCCTGGGTTCACATGTGCAACCAGACTAACAGTCTCCCCCTGTTCTAGCTCAAATGTCAAGCAAAGGAAATCGCGATTTGTTTTTATTCCCACCGTAAGAGCTTCTTCGTGAAGCCAGTAAATTACTTGGCTTGCAACCTGTAGTCAGAATCGATTAACAAGTCAATTTGCATGGAAGGACTATATCAGCAAAAATAATGTGACAAAAATATGTGCATTTTCTAATCACACCTCCACAGGACTACGATAAACAACATGAAATTATCATATTAAAATCATCGATAACAAAGTTAAATAGAAAAATTCAGGGTAAACAATTGATCATGCAAGAATACCCAATTTCATCACCAATAACTAAAAACAGTATACTGTATGACAGAACAGTAGGGGCCTTCTCTTTTTCTTGTTTGGGGGGAACAAAACAACCATCTTTCTGTTGCTTAGTAGGAAAGAAAGCTGAGAATAAAGCAAAAATGAGAAATAGGGCTATGTTTCACACTTACTCCAACATTATTACTCAGCAGCATACATTAGTTGATTAAAATATCAAATGAGATGCAGATCATGTCAGCATAAACATGGTCCCAAAATAAAACATAGTGATGTCATTCCTAGAAACTGACAAAAGTAACCTACCTGCAGCAGTATTATAACCGGAAGATCAGCCAAGTCACATTCATATTTGTTTACAGAACATATGTTCTCAGAACTTTTGAACAGGCCAACAACATTAGGAGCACCTTCCCCTTCAACATTGATACGGTCATCATTCAACACCACCTTAGTACGGAATTGTGATTTTATAGCTTCCTTCATGTTCTGGAAGTCTGATTTCGGAGATTGAGACTCTGCATGAAGAATGGACTGAGGAACTTTCATGAAGACCGTCCAAGAAGATGTCCGTGAATGCCAAGTGGGATGGGTCATCAAATGGAGATATGGGACCCTGCAAACCTACAGATATCATGGAAAGTTATATTAGAAATATGAACAAGATCTAAAGAAAACTTGTAGTAATCTATGTCAAAAGATTAGTGAGGAAAATACCACATTTTCCAGCTCCGTGAGAACTATGCTTGAAAAGATTCTATGACCCAGAAGACTAGGTTCAACCTTTCCTGATTGACCAGATGCTTGGGTACCAGATAAATTTGGTTTATCCTTTTCCTTGACAAATGCATTTTCATGAAAAATCTGCTGCAGATAAATTTCACAACTGGTACGATTAGGGAAAACCCATTTATTTTCAGTATCAAATGAGTGTGAAGGTACAATTGCAGATTCTAAATTCTGGGTATCGGCACTGTCCTGATTATCACCCTTATTAGAAGGCATAAGTGATATGAAAAGAGTGTTTCCTTGACCTATACTTAATTGCAGATAATTTTCTCGTATTCCAGTTACATTCACTCCAACAGATTGGTTGAATGCTTCACGATTCAACATCTCAAACACCTGAACCAAAGAAACATGATAATATTAAACAAATGCATATTTAAGTCATAAATAAGGATAAGAGAAAGAAAAATCTACCTGATCATTAAAGATTGATTGATGAACTTCTCGAAGGAGAGTATGTGTTTCTTTGACATAATCATCATCACTTATTGATTCTTTCTCACTCTCTCTGATGCGCTGCTCAACTGAGCCATGGGTTCTGATCTTACTCGTGTTTTTTGGGATATCAGCAGAATGCACACCAAGAAAACCAAAGTGAAGAGACCGACATGAATTTGGAGTTAAGTTAATAGCAAGCATTCCGGCTGAATCATGTTCAACACGAATGGTAGATAGAGAAGATGGGCGACACATTGCTGCCAAATCATATAATGAATTATCAAAAAGATCAATAGTGAAGCCCTCATTGCTAGAAGCTGAAGCTGCCACCCGTTGTCGTTTAACTTTCCAATTTTGCTGCAATCTATTAGCTTGTTAGGAAATAAGAGAAATGGAGCATGTAAAAAAGAACAAGGCTTGCACAATGCAAAATAAATAAGCATTGTAGACTGACAAGTCAAGAAGCTGAACCTAATAGCAATAAACTTTCATGAGATACATTCTATTAAATGAATGCAGAGGGATACCTTATTAGAGCACCATAAAATCTTGCTTCCCAAGCAATTTGTTCTTTAAAAGCTTTGGCAGACTGTTTAAAGTATTTACCCAATTGCTGCAAATAAAGAAGTAAAGTTCAACAGTAAATTCGACAACAAAAAAAGTTTGGTACCAATACAATTAAGCATATTTTCAATAGCAATTATAACCACACTAGTCACACTACTCAATCTCATATTCAAAAAAAGAGTTAAGATCATCAATTTTATTCCCCCAAAGAAGAACAATACCCGGTAACATTGTAGCTTGGTTGCAGCAGATACGGCAAGATCAGACAGGACCTCATTGGGTAAAGGCTTAGGCCTAGTCATGCCAGCGACTGTTACAGCATCATTAGCTTCCACCTTCCAAAGCAAAAAATAAAAATGAACATTATATTCAATTGACTGCTCCTTTACCATTCAAAGAAGCACTATCCACACTTTATCTTACTACATCAAAGGAAAAAGAAAGCTAACCAGACAAAAAACATCTAGCAAATTCAAATATAGATTGTGAATTCACTAACTGAAGATAATGTTTTCTCATACTCTTTAACTTCAGAATTCATTTAATTCAAGGATAAAGCCAATGATATGGCAATACAGGGCACCTAGGGAATGCAGATATGGGCACATGATAAGGGTACAACACTACATGGACACAGCGATACAGGAACTTCTAGAAAATCAAGACACAGATACTGCAATAAAAAATAAAAATGTATGATTGATACTTTTCAATCAAATATTGACATACAAATAGCATTTTGCTCAACAATTTACTTCTATCTTCTTCCTCTCTCGTTCTGTCCTTGTAACCTATTCATGTTGATACTTTGCTTTCAACTCCTACTCTTTTCAACATTTAACTCTCCATTCTGTTTTCCTTATTTCTTTATGGATTTCAAGCATTTGACTTCCTTCAGGCGTGTG